ATAGGCTGTCCTGTCAATTGAAGTAGGACCTCTCGTTTTTCTTTCATGATTCATTGTGGTGCTTCGAATACAACTAAATTATGCATGCAGTGAGAGCATATGTTGAGAGAAAGGAAGGACCCTATTTATTCAATCACATGCAATAAAATAACAAATATCATTGAAATATCACTTTTTCCTCCAATGGATGGAAGTAACGTGCCTGATTTTATCAATCAAATACATTGAATTCGATTTTTATTTAAGTAAAAAGAAAAGTAGTTGTTTTTTACTCAAACACAGCTTATCAAGTCAACATGACACAGTCATTTGTGTGAAGAATGAAACACATGGGTGTGGGTGTGGGTGTTAGTTTTTCTTTACTACATTCACACTCACAGTCACACCCAACATTCAACTTGTCTTGTTTCGTAATAATTAAATGGAAACAAGTAGGGCTTATTCTTTGTCTCATCAACACTATCATAAAAGAGAAAAGAAATTGAAATTTTAAATTGTTTTATCTATCTATACAATTGGTATATTTGCAAGATTAGTACTCTATTTGTGTGGTTACTTTATGAGTAACTGTTCTTGAACCATGATGGGCGTAGGCGTGACTCTGTCGCTATAAATGTCGATGTGAAGTCTGCTTCTGACAAGTGTGACTATAAGTGCTTAGAGGCATTTATTCATTCTCGTCAACATTCACATCTATCCACATCACATCCATGCTACAAAAAAGCAGAGACATCTTTCCTTTATTATGCGTTGGTTAATAACTATCTCAAACATTTTTCGTTTCTTTTTAGTTATTATCAGTTATAAAAAAAGTAAAAAGAATGAAATCAACTGAAAAAGATACTCATCGACGAATTCGTAGTGAATTTCCATATAAAGTTGAAAAATTGACACAAATATCAATTGCTGTTGATGACAATATTCAATTAGCAGCAACAATATGGATGCCCGGAAGTGAGAAAAAAATTTTAGTTTTATTAAATACAATTAAAAAAAAATCTCTCATCTTAGTGGATGGTAGTCAATCAATAAATGAAGAAAAATTTCCAGCCATTTTAGAATATTTACCATATAGAAAAGCAGATCGGACGTTCGTTTTGTTGTTTCAAATAATTTCTTTCATTAAATTAAATCAATTTGAATAGATCAATAAGAGATGAAATTCGATTAAAATACTTATCCGGTTTTGGATATGTTTCAATTAGAGTTGATATTCGAGGAACAGGAAATTCGCAAGGTTTGAAATTATCGTTTTGTTTTTCTTAATTATATTTTATTCAAGTTTTTTTGTTCATATAAAAACAAAAGGAATATTTGATGATGAATATACAGAACAAGAATTATTCGATGGATTAAAAATTCTCGACTGGATTCAAAATCAAACATGGTCAAATGGAAAAGTAATTAAGAAAGATTTTATTTTATTTTTATTTATTCTCTATTAAAAAGGTCGTTATTTATGGAAAATCTTGGGGTGGTTTTAATGGATTACAAATTGGTTTTCTTCAACCTAAAGTTGAATAGTTTTGTTTAAATTTAAAATAAAATAAATATAAAGATACTTTTGTTTGTTAAAGAATTTATCTGGAATTATTTCCGCTTATTCAACAGATGATCGTTATAATAATGATATTCATTATTATGGTGGATGTTTACCAGCACACGAAGGTTTTCTTTAGAAAATTTATTTTCAATTCAAATAAAAGAATTTCTTTTTCTTTTTCTTTTTCTTTTTTATCATTGTCATGGTCAACGCATATGTTAAAATATTTATCTCTTCCTCCTCATCCATTATATCAAGGAGGAATCGAAAAAGATTGTCACTTATTTGATATTTGGAAAGAAAGATTAAATAATTTAATACCTTTAGATTATTATTGGATGCAACATCAAAATCGGTTTTTTTTAATTCAAATTTCAAAACTAAATCAATATATTTCATTTATTTAGAGATAAATATTGGCGTCATGGAAGTATATGTGAAGATTATTCGAAGATTTCATGTCCAGTTTTATTAATTGGAGGATTTTCGGATCTTTATAATTCATCTATTTTTCGTTTAATTAATCAGTTGGAATGTCCAAAACGAGCTATTTTAGGTCCATGGGGACATCAATGGCCGTCTGTTTCTTTATGTACATTTGATAAAATCTAGATTGATAATCTTTGTTGTTTTTTTTCTAGAGATGATGCTTATCCTGGACCACAAATTGGTTTCTTACAAGAACTAGTTCAATGGCTTGATTATTATATAAAAGGTATTGATAATGGTTATGGTAACAAACAAATTTTATCTGTATTTCAATTACATCCCAATATTGATGAACTACATTCCATTGTAAAAGAAAGAAAAGGAAAATGGATACATTTTAATTCACTTCCATCTTATCCATATGAACATTTTCAAAGAAATGATCATTTAATTTATAAAAATCAACAAATTGATACAAAACAAATTCAATATTATTTGTCTTTTCAACGTTTAACAACTGAATTTATTTTAAATGATTTAAATCCTAACAAAATTTCATTCTTATCTATAAATATTCAAATAGGACATTTGAACGAAAATAAACTTTTCTTTATATTTCAATCAATTTATTACTATATAACAATCGATTAAACATGGACAAATAAAAATATTCAAGCAGATTATTTTATTTCATTTAAATTGATTCTACTAAATTATTGAACTATGAGGAAAGTTGTCGTTGCACTTTGACTTACATTTTATCCTCGACAAATTTGAATGGATTTTATTGAAGTTTGTTTCGAATGATTTTTATTAAGTTTTGACATTTTTCAAAGCAATTATAATTCATATGAGAGTAAACTATTTGATTATGAATTCATTCATAGAATTTCTCGTTCTAATCAAAAATATATGAAAATATTAATCGTTCAAAAAGATCAATATCTATTTGTCTATCAGTTTGTCATTCTATATGGACGTCGTTTACGTATAGAATCTCTCCTCAAGAGACAGGTTTATCAAGTGGAAATTTACTTGGATTGGGATTTATTGACAAACCTGATCACCCAACAGATCAACGAGAAGATGATGGAAGATCATTATGTTTTGAGTCTCTTCCATTACATCATGATTATGGTATTTATTATAGAAAATATTTCAAATTAATTTTATTTATTTTTAGAATTGTTTGGATTTCCATTTGTTAAACTTAATTTAAGTTCGAATAGTAAAAATGGTTTAATATGTGTCCGTCTCTGCATGATTGAGGAAAAAAGTTCATCATCAATTCTTATTTCACGTGGAATTCTTAATTTAACACATTATAAATCACATGAACATCCTCAACAACTAAATGTTGATGAAATCTACAAGTTTGTATTTTTGAAATAGTATTTAAAAGAAAAAAAGATTTTCTTTTTTTTCTCTAAAACTTAAGTGTTGAAGTAACATTATCTGGTGTTTGCGTATGCTTACCAACTGGTTGTCGTCTTCGTTTATCTTTATCAACATCATATTGGCCAATTGTATGGCCTTCATCACAATTATCAACATTGACGTCTGTCATCATATATTTTAGAGAAAGAATAAAAATTTTTAGGTTTTTTTTTCCTAGGATTCATTTTAATGAAATATCACCATGTATTCTTACGTTACCTTGTTTAAATGACCAATAGTAAAAGAATTTTATTTAAATATATTCAAAAAAAAAAAACGTTTTTTTTTGTAATTAATTAAGTTTGACAAGTGATGATCTTGGTTTTCCTGAAATTTGTCAAGGAATTCCAATAAAACAGTTACGAGATAGTTCAATCAATCGTTTTAGAATGTTAGATGAAATCAATGAATTAATAACATTAAAAGTAATTCGATTTTTCTAATATTTTTAATAATTGTCTTTTTGGTTTTTTTTTTAAAAGATTAATGAAGATGATGGTTCTATTGAGTATCCTGATGGTTTAATATGGGATGAAACATCAGAAAGTATTTATGAAATTAAAAAAAATGATCCTCAATCAGCAAGAATAGAAATAAAAAGATATATAAAATATTATTTTCAAGATCAATCATCAATTAAAGTTGATATACAAACAAAATCCATTATGTTTAGTCAACAGTCACCATCAACATTTCAAATAATACATCAATTAAATATTCATAATAAGGATCAATTATTTTTTAAGAATGATTGGAATTTAACATTTCCTAGAATTTGCAACTAATTTTCTTTTTTATTCAATTTACATATAATATCATCATTATATTATATCTTGAATAAACTGCAACAATAGATGAAACGTATAAAAAAATAAAACAAATAACATCTTTCACTTTGTCAAGAGCTGTTTTAAAAAACATCTTAATCATGTTTGTACTTGTAAAATGTAGCTATTAGATGTTTTAAAACTGAACATAAAAACAATATCTTGAAAAATATTACAACTAGTGAAAATCTATTCATACAATTTCTTTGAGATGCAGTTTTGCATTATCATGATGCAGTTTGATATTATTCGTATCGGATAGTGATCTGCTTTTCGAATGGGTTCTCAAGTACTGCTTTTAAACATCAGTCACTGTGAATGTTAACATCAATAAATATTCAACATGGTATCGAATAAAAGCATAACGATCCAGTTGTCATGGAGCTAGTGACGTAACCAGCTTCTGTTTACCCACACTACACATCTACTAGCACACTATCTATTTTTTACTTTTTCAATTAATATCACATTAATTTATTTCGTTTATACACCAAAGTTACACATATTTCTAGAACGAATGGTCCATCCCTGTCATTGACAATGAAAAAACAGCAATTCAGTCTTTCACTCTTTTAAAGGACAAGAAGAAAATCAGTAAGATATTCTTTATTTAGCTCACTGTACTTTCATTTGATAGTTCTACTTTTCTCAACAAGACAATTGATAAATAAGTAACCTGCAGCTATGGAAGTATTCCATTATATAAACAACGATATCATTCGTGTATATGTCAGTGTGCATTGGTTTTATTATGTATAATTTGATTATGATTCTTCTTCTTTTTTTAACAATAAGCCATACGGTCGAATAGCTTTCGGATCGACAAAGCGCCACATTTCTCCTTTCTCTATTGAGCTTTCATGAACGGTGAACATTTTCGGTTGAACACGACACTGAAACACCAGCCGATAATTTTCTGTATTCTTATTAGATACTTTAACGGAAAATACTTCTGTAAATCGTGGGTGAGATCCACCATTACAATGAGTGGCTAAATAGAGTCGTGGTTCATTCATTTCGATTCCATCAAATTGAAGTGAACCATTGTTTATGGTGTTTTGATGTGTTCCTTGAAATGCAACTGGCCATTCGTCATCAGCATTGTCACAACTGAGCCAGGTCGCATCATCCAGATGCTTATGATCAATTTTTAATGCATGACGATACCAACCAATCGGACGATAGTATGGATATCCTCCTCTCATTTCAGATTCAAGTATTTCTGATTTCTCGTAATCTCTATTGAATTCTGGGGTGAAATCATTTGGTTGCAATTGAAAGTAAGATAAAATCGAAGCCCATTTATAAACGTATGAAGCAGGTTTGACGTATTGAAGTACTGGTCGTTTAGGAAAGCCTTTTTGGGCCTTATCCTGAAAAACAAAGACAATGCATAAATTTCTTCATCAAAATCTGAGATAATTATACAAAGTGTTTGGTTTTTGTAGAAGCCAATCTAAGTAAGCATTAAATAGAACTTTATATATAGAGTACCTGTAATAAATGAGCAAGCTGTTGTGTCTCATTAAAATTCGGTTTGGTTATACCGAAATGAACTTTAGTTTCATCAGATTGTTTGTTTGATTTTTTCACAGAAAGTATGCGAATATAGTGCTCTTCACAAGATAAAAGTTGAGAAACATCTCGACAAAAACTCAAAGCGAAATTCTCCATAGTATCCTTTGATTCTGCAAAATTCTTGTCATAATCGACGGTGATGTTGAACGCAAACTTGGCCATTGGTACATAGTTGTTGGTAAGCATATGAACATTGCCAAGATTGCCTATACCGCAAGCTAAACAATGAGAACTGTCATCAACTGGCACATCATTCATGGTGATAGTCAGATTGCCATTGAATTTGCGAGCGAAGGCATCGAGAACAAGTATGAGTGTTTCTGTTGAATCTTCAGCAATATTTATTGGTTTTCGGCAAAAATCTTTTGATTTATTAGTAAATGTTCGATAAGCTGCTATAGTATCGAATGGTTGATTATCGTTAATAGCTGGTGGATAAACAATATCTTTCAATACTGCTTGTTGATCATTCAACTTGAACCAGGCAGGCGTCATCTTAAGTGATGTTCCGTTAGATTCCATATGAATTTGCATGACTCTATTGCCCTCATCATCACGTATTATATGAAGAGGTATCGATACAATATCTGGTTTTGATTTTTGTTTTTGACTCCCATAAGTCTTCCGTAATAGTAACCAATGCTTATACTTCAGCTGTTTTATTGTTGCATGTAACGTGTGAATTTGTTTCAAATCGGAATCTTTGTAGACTATATTTCTTTGTTCACATTTGACTATCAGAGCTTTAAGTTGTTTTTCTAATGTTTTGATGTGCTTGGATATACTGTCGACATTATCGAACTGGTTTATTTCAGAGGCAGACGCCATGTTTGTCTATTCGTATTCTAGAAAGGTAAAATCCATCATTCACAGACTTAGTTCAATTCTTGTGTAAAAAAATATACTGTATCAAAAGTTTTTCGTAGTAATAATTCAAGAAAAATGGCGACACTACTCATAAAATAAAAGAACGGTTGCTTCATAGATCACGCTGGACGCTTTCGTGATGAATTTGTCTATAATAAAAACATGTCCCACTCAGTCATGACAACCCTTCAAAACATATATTGGTCAACTCTTTCGCTTTTTTTCTCCTACTGATGTCCGTTTCAAAACGGAAGACAGATTACTATTGTTTGAATAAATTTTGCTGAATGCTAAGTATAGACCTGTCATTTTCACTATTGTAAGAAGAATTTCTTTCTTAGTGTGTTTAAATAAATTTTTCACAATTATTTCTGCTCAAATTATGCTACGACGTAGTTCAAATATGCAGTTTTTCTCTATAAAATTATCATATGTTTTCTATCATTTTACCGACTTCTTTTTTCTAGTAGATTTTCAAAAGAATGTCATAACTTTACGACGTTGTGACATAATTTCAGTACAGATAACTGTGAAAATACACAAAAAAAAATTATCAATGACAAACTTCCTGAGAACATTTTTTTAGTTCCTTTATTTCGACAATAATCTACCACAATTATACTGTGTAGCCTATGTTATTTTTCAAGAACGATCGAAGACATAGCAGCATTGAATCTATCTTTTATAAAGTTATTGTCTGGAAATACTTTGAAAATTTTTACCTCAATTATCAATCCACTTCGCTATTGTATTTATCATTGAACTCGAATGGCGCGTCAATGATAAGAATTACAATGCATCCACAGAAGGTAGTTGATTATTTACTATTAAAATACTATGTTCACTCTTCTGATCTTGTATTAACAGATTTGATCAACAAAATTGTTTTTCAGCATCGGTAGCAACTATACTTTATGTGAAACTCATCCCACCAGTAACGAGTTTTTAGAAAACATAACAAAGACTTAATTATGACAAAATTTTTGAGATAAATTTTATGGGCCTTCGAAAGTTTGCAAAAACGTTCCCAAAAATGAGTTTTTTTTTCAAAAAATGGTCTTATTTACAAAATCTAATGTTTCCAAATTTTATAGAACTAATGTACAGTAGCACGCTGTAGTTACATTGAATGGTTTGACTACAAGTCATGCCAATCTAGTTAAGCTTTTGCCACTCGTAGTTAAAAAGTTAGAGAATGGCGTCTAGTGGAACTCGATAGTGTTGCAATAATGAAAAAATTATTTGAACTCATTCGAAGATAATCCTATATCCTTTCGAACAACTTTACAATTCTCAGAGGCATTAGCCTTTTTTTGCTTAGAATCTATTCACTATACTATGACAGCGCATCTAATTTTTATCTTGTTTGAAGTACTCTGTCCTCATTACTTCCTATAATTGAACTAAGATTCGAATTGTTTTGACTATTCATAAAAGAAGTTAAAGTTCGCCTCGTATGTGTACGGATCTCACAACTAAATAGTTTAAAAAAAAGAACATGAGGAATAATCAAAATGCAGTTTTCATCATTTGTGATGCTACAAGCATCACAATTTTATAAGTTAAGAATTGACTCTTCTATATTAAACGATGAGAAAGACAATAGTGAACGATTCTACAGTAGTATTTAATTACAAGAACATATGCTACTATTTGTTCTACTGGCAATACTTGCTGTCATCAACATCAACAATCATTGTGAAGTCTGCTAAGTGATGTTTGTTGCATCGGGACAGCTATAGCTACACCTTTTCAAGTGCTCACAAACTGATTGAATAACGTTACAAATTAGAAAGAAAAAAAATTATAACTAAAAAGGCACATGAATGAAAAATAAAGAATAGTGAAATAAAAAAAGAATTGGTGAAAAATAAATGAATCAATAATAGAATTGTCAACAGAAAATAACTGAGGGTATAAAATGAATAAAAAAGACATAATATAAGCATATGGCATTTAATCATGTCGGAAAGAAGAACATAGAAGAGTAATTACTATTGATGATTTTTTTATCTACCTACAATGTTCCATCAGTATTAATTTATTTTACTCTTTTTATTCAAAATCTAACGTAATCGTATCCTAAAAGAAATCATTTATGTACAATTAGTTCGAAAAGAAAATATCCTTGTACAAAAAATTAGTTCTGCTTTTGATGAACATTCAAACATAAGGTTTGCTTTTATACAAATGATGAATTATCTAACTGTCAACAAATTTTGATAAAGATTTGGTGCTGGATAGTAGACTACTTCTTATAGGATTTTCTTTGCATTGTCTATCAATGCGCTTATTTACCATAGAAATAAAGCAATGGAGACATCGAAAAGGCTTATATATTTTGGACGAATGTTGCTCATCTGTCGATCGAATTTGTTTTTGTTTTGACGAAACTCATACGGTGTCCATATGCTTATTTCACTATGTAACCATATTAATACTAGCGTAGTCATATTAAATGTTAACCGTATCAATAAATTTCTCGAGATTTTCCTCAGAAAAAATGGATGGCTGTGGATGTGTTAGGAAAGAATATCTACACCTACACCCTCAAACAAACGTACAATTCATTAATTTAACAATACAAAATTTTGAATAAACAACTGAGAATAGAAATGCTTGAAAATTAGATGATACTTATCAACAACTTTAATCATATCTTGATATTTCATTTATTAATTATTCAGATTTCGTCAAGCTTTGCAATCAAAATTTGATCAATAGGAACATGATATGATTACATGTAATTAAGTTAATCAGTTAAATGTACTAAATTTTAAATCAATAAACGACTTAATTGAAATTTCGTCAAGTGCTTACTCTTTTATTTAATAATAATTCGAATGATAATAGATAGCCAATTCTTTCACTTAATGCTCAAAAACAATAAGATAAATTAGGTAAACTACATCATCTGAAACATATTGATTTTTGACAGTCTTAAATACTTTTGTTGTTTATTCATTGCAACAAATGAAATATTTTCTTAATAATAGATGAAAAATAATAGAATTTTATCAAACGAATATAATTGAAAGAATCTATGACAAATATTATATTAGTGTTTCCTATTTCGCAAATTATACTTTTGACAATTAAACGAGCAAGTAAATTAATTATACAACAGTTTAATTATTTTTAGTAACTTTTATTTTATACTCTGTTTTTTGAAAACGATATTAACATCTGATTTAATAATTAAAGTGGAAATTATTTTGAAAAAAGTATTTTTTATCATTGATTGTTTGAATATTAATTCTATAAATCTAATGATAATTTTTGAAAGTCTATAGATGTATAGATGTCGATGATCGGAACTATTCATCGTGACTAAAACTTCTGTTTATAAAGGTAGAATTGGATAAATTATTTTTTCCCCTTGTAAATATTCCATTCACTCTATTTTGAATGGCCGGATGTAAAGAATGGTATTTCCTTTAAAAAAAGGCGCTTTCACTTAACTTTTTGTAAGATGAAGTGTTTCTGCTCAATCATGAAAATTACTTTTATCTAGCTTGAAAAATTTTCTTAAGGATGAAGATGCGATAATAATCAAAGTTACTCAAAGTCAAGGAATTTGCTGCGCTATATTACTCTAAAGAAATTACGACTCATAAAAACTTAAAACACAGTATCAATAGATGTCAGACGAAGAAACTCACAAAAGTATAATTTTTTTTTCAATCTCTCCATAATGAATTTATATTTTTCATTGCTTGTTTAAGTACGAAATGTTATTTTGAATATAGCGTACAAACCTCTTTTGACTCATCAAAAAAGAGTTCCTATGGATGTGATTCATCGAGAATATTATATAATGTGCAATATGTGAATACAATTGAGAAAAGCAATATAACGAGAAAACGAAAAGGTAGTCACGCGTTAATCATCCTTGTTCGATAAAAAAACAAGTTTCTTTTGTTTACCAAGTGCTTCAGAAGTATAGCTACTATTCCATCGTATTATTGGTAAGCTTGGTTTTCTCTTTTAACGATAACAAACTAATTATATTATTTTTCATACATTGGGATTTCTATACAATATGCAATATTCTTATTCGCATGCATTTTGTATCGCATACAAATATCACTGCATGGGTAAGAACAGTACATATTTGCTAAAGTACCCGTATAATATGTGACTTATTCATTGAGACATATAAGCGAAGAACTTCAATGGTTCTAAGAAAAGTTGATAGCCAAATACATCAACTATATTTTTTGTGTTTAAACTAATTTCAAGAGACAAGTTCGTTTAAACGCGTTAAATTACTCATTGAATCTGATAGTTACGAATAGAATCAACTATACTATTTACAATAGTATTCTATATCTATTTAACAAACTATTTAAAGTGTTCTCGAAAGTATGAACCATATTTTGTTTGGATAAAAATTCATTCTACATCTCACTGATCTAGAATGATATTTAAATGATTATCCAAATATATCCTTTGATTAACATATTATTATCAATATGCTATTGTTGAATGAATCTTTAATGAATGATTATCTAAAAACAGAATCTCTTTTGATGAAACATAGAAAACAGTCTTGAACAAAACGTTTTTCATTCGTCTGATTCCAGCTACAATACTAGTTAGATGTTTAAAATTTGTGCGCATATGCTTCACAAGACGTTTAGATCAGCAACATC